AGACTCTGGGGCCCGGAAGGCTCCGCCCGGGCTCTGCCTGTGGCCGTGTCTGCGCAGAGTCTGGTCTCGCCTCAGGGGCACATCGAGTCGGCCCGCGTGTCGCACGTGCGACAGGGTCGTGCCGCTGATGGCGTCCCGCGGGCATGAACGTACATTTAAAAATTCATTTCAAACAACGGGCGTCCTCGCGTGTAACTCCCATGTGCCGCTGTGCTGAAAACGAGCTGTAGCTGCATTTCTGTGTCATCAGGGACCCTTTTAAAGGATGTCGACGAGACCACTCTCTCTGCGATCTGCTCGTCATTCAGTGGCGTTTTGAATAAAAAATTCTCTTCATTGGATGCTGTTAATAGCAACAGTGAACGTGTTCTGGGGTGGTCAGTATCTCCCAGGCGTATAGTTTAGTCTCATTTATTTCGCCATCACCCTGTGAGGGGCAGTCACAGCTGTCACACGCATGTCCATGTGACAAGTAGGTGTGGAGAGGCTGCGGGCTTTTGCTCAAGTTCACGGAGTTAGCAGGATGATGGGTTAGGGTTCAAATCCTAATCCTAATCCTAATCCATATTGAATTGAAGCTCAGCCCGTGTTCTCAGTGATCATAACGTGGCAACGTAGATGAGGCAAAACTTTTCCTCTGCCTTCTTGGGTTCTGTCACTAGGGCCTGCAGATTCAAGTGACAAAAGCCGATGAGCAGCAGAGAAGGCAGACACACTTGTCGATCTAACTATTACTGCATGCGCTGGGGCTCACAGTAAATATGTGAAAATCAAAATAAGCGATTAGACTCAGCGTGGCATTTATTGTCCTTTTAAACAGGGCGGGGCTGGGCCACAGGGCGGACGGACATGGGGCAGGTGGCTGGGGAGCGAGTGGCAGGGCAGGGTTGTGTGGGAGGGTCTGCCACGCCGACTCACGCTGCCGCTGCCGCCTGAAGCCTTCCTGGAACGTTAGAGGGGAGCTAGTGTCACTCCTGCAAAGGGAAGTTTATGTGTTTAGGCAGAGGCATCTCCCTGTGGGTGCTGTTCTGTGCTGCCTTTGCACGATAGTGCGCATCTCCGTCCGCAGAATCGTGTTCAGGAACAATGGACCTTTATTTTCTTTTATTTAGTTAAAAAATTTTTTTTAAGATTTATTTATTTATACAAGAACTGGGGTATAGGTCAGAGGTGCGGGAGGGTGAGAGGATTCACCAGAGAGAGTGGGGAGCAGAACAGGCCGACGGACCGAAGTCGAGCGGGTTGAGCGTCACGCTGTGGAGCTGTCCCCAGCCTCTGCGATGCGGGTTCCATCCCGGCCGGCCAGGGAGATTCCCACATGAAGCAGCAGACCTTTCCTGCCTCGCCCGCTGCTCCCCTCAGCAGTGTCTTCGGTGGACCTTTAAAAGCTGTGTTTCCTTCCCATGCTGGAAGAAGTCACATGTGATCACGATAGACGGGGGTGCGCTCTCCCAAAGGGAAGTCTCGCTCTGCGTCCTGCGCCTTGTGAGTTGAATCCGCCGTAAGTGAGGGATGACTTCAGAGTCTGCTTTGCTGCAGCTCCTGCAGGACGCGCGGGTCTCCCTGTGGTTTGCCTCTGGTGGGACCGGCAGAAAGCAGGGCCGGCTCCCGAGGCCGAGGGGGCTGCCTCTCAGCCGCACCTCCTGGACGTCAGGGTGTCCAGGAGACTGAAGCAGATTAGCGGGTCGTGTGTCGGTTGCAGTGAAGACCATTATTCAACAGGCGTTGTTCTTGTCCACTCTTGAGTTAGCACAGAATGGAGAGAGCTGTTTATTTCTCTGAAGGGGTTATGGGGCGCTGGGCAGAGCCAGTGACCGGGCCTGGCTGAGGGTGGAAGGTGGGAAGGTTTCGTGAAGAGGCTTCTGCTGCTGGCGAGACCGTCCCGGCGGTGGGCGTCCAGGCGTCGGTGTGCAAGGCGCGGGTTTTATTTTGAAGTTTAGGGCAGCGCTCTCGCTCCTCGTGCGCTTGCTAGCACGGTGCCACGGACTGCCCTGCAGGGGCTTGGGGACTGCCCCCCTAAAGCGTTTTCTTCCTCTCTTAGTACATTTGAAAACAACCCTTTTACTTAAGTGAGGGGAAGAAAGTTGATAATTTTAAGTTAGAATGAATGTTTTTTCTTGGAGCCTTGGAAGTAGGTTACGGGCGTAAGAACCGCATCGGTCGGGCGCTGCCGCGGCCGGGCCCCCTCCTCTGCGGGCACTGTCAGTCTGAGTGCTTCACCCCGACTCCTGCCGTCCCCGAGCTTGGCAGTTCTTGGTGTCGCCTTTTGTTTTCAGAACTTTCAAAGCTGTAAATATGAACGGCCGCTGTTGTTTAACTTCTTAGTTCTGCTGAGCCCCGAACCCTTGACCGTCACCGCCGAGAACCCTGAGCGAGAGGCGGCTGGGCGGTGGAGGCGGCCTGGCGGTGGGTGCTGGGCCCCTGGGTCGGGCCGTCTTCCTGGGCTGCTTTACTTTCCCTTCTGTGGCTGCGAAACAGGTTTTTGTTCCTTTCCGAGGGGTCAGCAGTGATTACGTTTCCCCGCCTGCCCTGCCCGGGGGATTTCATCACGAGGTCTTTTTTCCTCTCAGAGCGTGATGGGCCGGCACGTCGGGAGTGAGGCGAGGATGTTGGGAGCGGGCGGAGCGTGTCTTCCCGGGCCGCGGGCGTGGGTTTTTGGACAGCGCATTTTGGGCCACGTTTGTGCTCCTCGCAGAGGAGGAAATGGCGGCATTTAAGGTCAGCGTGGGTCACGGGCAGACCAGCCCCAGCAGGGAGGTGCCCACCTGGGCCTGCACCTTCCTCAGCCACCCCGGGGCGAAATCCCACGGCGGGGTTCTCCGGGCTTGTCGTGACTTCAGGGGACGTTAATTTCATGGCTTCCTTTGCACCTCACCGTGCTGATTTTATTTTAAAAGCAATGCCTTCCGTTTTACCAAAGAAAACTTGAAGTGCAGTGTTTTTAACGCTGGTTGTGGAGATGTTGGGTTTGGAGAGCGGGGTCCTTGGGGTCACTCTGGGAAGAGTTCCCCAGACCTTCCTTTTCAGCAGCACCGGCGAGTGTCCCAGGCGAGTTTCTCCACAACACAGCAGGCTTGTTATAAAAGGGAGAGAGTAAGGGACACCTGCATGGACACAGAGGGGCGGAGAGAGCTGCCCCGAAGGACAGGTTTGCTGAGAGAGGCCTGCGTGGTCGCGGGCGGACAGCGTTGGAAGCCGCCCCTGCGGAGGGAGGGCGCGGCACAGACGGGCCGAGATGGCCGTGGTCCTGCCTTCCTGCCTCGGGAGGGGCGCTTTCCCTCGCGGCGTGGCCTGCTTGTTGTTGGGTTTGGTTAACTGTAGAGTTAGAGAGGGGCTGGGGACCCTACAGCAGCCTCGGTCTCCATATCCCACCTCCCTTCTGCACCCCTGATGCTCTGCAGCCTCCGACACCTGCGTGGGTCTCGTGCCTGGGATCTAGACTTTGGTAGCAGCTGGGGCAGTGGCTGTGTCAATCCCTTCTCCCCACGCCAGCCCCAGCCCGCTGTGAGCCAGGTTTGTGGTGTTTTATGCTTGTCCTCCATCATTTTCTAGGATTGATGTTATGATCCTAAGAAAATACCCATTTTATTCATTTTTAAGTTTTTTTATTTGTGACGAGGGTGCGCGGTGTGTCCTCGTGGCACCCGCACACATGACGTGCCCACCCACCACGCATCTCGATGGCTCCCCAGGTGCTTCACAGAGTGGACTCGGGGTGAATCAGTGGAGCCACAGCCTTTAACTGTGAAGAGACCCTACCCGGGAGGCTCGGCCCTGAATTTGGGAGGGGGAGGGGCATCTGTGGCACCTTAAAGCCAGGGCATCCCACCCGTGGTCTCCAAGCTGTGGGAGCTCCTTGCTAAGGGGGTGGGGCGTGTTCCCAGGCCAGACTCCACTTTAACCTTGCAGGTATCAGAACTGCGGGGTGCCTGTGTGTGTGCGCCTGTGTGTTAGGGGAGAAGCAGCTTAAACTTGATTAAACATTATTGGAAAATTATTTAGACACGTTACTGTTCCAAAGAAGAGTAAAAGATGGTAGAAACGATCCAAAACTTTCTGTCATCTAGTTCCACTGTCTAGAGATTTTGGAGTTAATGGCTTTGTCTTTCTTCTGTTGTTAAGCTATTAATGCTGAGGGTCATGCTCCTGGGGACTTTCATTAACTCATAACCCTGCTACTCCCATAATGGCTACAGAACCTAGGAGACCCAGAGTGAAAAACGCCATTAGCAGTGATTGCCTCTGAAGCCTTTAAAGAGACACTTTCAATTTCTGTAAATAATTTATTGTGGCTGCTTAAGACAGAACTATAGAGAGGCTCCGAAAATGGCCACCTGTGGCCTCTCCACCCGTTTTAAGGAACAGGACGTGGCAGCTGAGCGTAGGCCCACCCCGCGCCCCTCTGGCGACTCCCTTCTCCTCATGCTGACTTTTACAGCGGGCACGAGGCTACATGGCTGGGCTCAGAACAAAGTCTCCTTCTCTGGCTTGGCATCCAGAAAACTCCCTGTCTGTGCCACGCGGGACGCAGCGTCCCTCACCCATCCCCGCCCGCTCGACGCGCGTCCCTTCCTTGCTGGTCCCTCCCCCAGCAGCTTCCCTGACCTCAGCCGCTGAAGTCACCCCCCAAGCAGGGGAGCCCCAGCCCCCTGCCCTGGAGGCTTCTCCCGGGTGCCCGTGGCGCAGGCTGTCCTGGCTGTCCCCCTGCACAGGCGGTGGTGAGGGGCGTCTGGGAGGACGCGCCGGGGGCCAGCACGCAGCGGGCGGGCCTGCCCTTCTCTTGCGGATAGTGACTGTTCTTCATTTTCTGTCCATTGATATGGCCCGTGCTTCACTAATTCACGTGGCCTCTGGGCCCTGGAGAAATCTGATTTTTGTTAATTATGGAAGGACATAGTCGTGACATCATGTTTGCCCCATTTTTGACATCCTGTTTTCTGTATTAGTGTGGTATGCTTTAAAATGTCAAACTAATGTTTCTTTTTTGTTTTATCTTTTAGATATTGCTATATGGAGATTTGCCAAAAAATAAAGAAAATGTAATATATTTATCAAATCATCAAAGCACAGGTTTGTATTTCACTTATATGGAACTTAGGTTTTTCTATGGAAAGTAATTGGGCATTCAAAGAAGTGTTCTTATTGCATGTTTTTAGAAGAAATTCTCTTATTAAAACGTGAATTCTCAATGAGATCTTGTATCAGTAACCCTTTGGCTTTTTGGAGTCGGGGCTGTGAGGCTTTCAATTTCTTGGACCTGCCTTCTCCCTGTGTCAGGTGTAAGTGAGCTGTTTGCTTACCCCCCCCCACACACACCCCTGCTTCCTTCCTCGTGTGTGTTCTGCCTCTGGACGCGGAATCGCGGCCCTGTGGCCCCGGTGCTTGTGCACCCTACAGCTTTGGGTGGGAGGCCGCAGGACGCGGGCCCTCGTGCGCCTGTGTCCATTCCAGGTCCGTTTCCAGCATCTGCGCCTCCTTTCAGCAGATGAGACAGGGGAACTTAGCCTGTATCCTCCCCGCACAGCGGTCACAGGAGAGCTCTGGCCTCTGTGATATGCTCGAAATGAGGTTAAGGTGCTTGCAAAAAATCTTCTATTTTGAAATAATGATAGGTTCACCAAAAATTGCAAAATTAGGACATAAAAGCCCATGGCCTTGTCACCAAGTCTGCCTGGTGGGGCACCTTCTGGAACCTTGCATGGTGCCCAGGGAGTGGACTTGAAAGTCAAGTTTTGTTCTCCAGATAATTCGGTCCCAGAACAAATCCTACTTCATGTTTTTATGACACCTGTAACTCCTGATGCATACTCTGTAAATCCCTTATTACTTTAAAGATTATTTTAAAAAAATACGGCCACTAGAAGTTCAACGTCTAGCCCAGCCTGGTCAGCGGCACACCTTCAGAGGAAGCCCCGCCTCCCTCCTGCCCGCCGCTTTTCTCGCTTCTGTTGCTTTTCTCGCTCACTGGACCACAGATGAGGTAACAAAAGTAAACAGCTGAAATGCATTTTTCTCGGTGCAGCCTATTAGTGATGGCCGCCTGTGCCCTGGGAGAACTGAAGGACGTGCAGGCAGCAAACCTGAGCCAGCCTCACGCCTCCTGCTGTGCCGGCCGTGTCGGGCCTCCTGCCCTGCTGCTCCTGGCCTCTCCACCGAGGGGCATTTCCCTGGGGTTCCGGCATCCATGTAGGCCAGGGGTGGCTCGTCCCTGGAGCCCCTGGTTAATTTCATGGGGCAGTTTCTCCTTAACGGGATCCTCAGATACCTTGCTCGAGCTCCTGCCAACTTCCCGTTTCCTAAGTGGCAGTGGGTCCTGCTCACAGCCTGGCCCCAGCACAGACACAGTGCTGGGAGCATGCGCGAGGGGCACGGCGGCCCGGAGAGTAGGGGCCCGCGGCGCCTTGGGCTGCCCCGGCTGGCCTTGTCTGCGTTTGGGGGGCTGCAGGGGCAGCAGTTGGAGGGAGTGGACCTTGTTACTCTGCTGTGTTCGGTCGGAAGGGTGCGGAGCCCTGGTCAGCCCCCATGGCGCCAGGAGCTCCTCCCATCATGGCCCTGACCCCAGGCTTGATGCCTGGCAGCCGCTTGGGCATGAGGAGCCTGCTTTGGGGATGCTTTTAAAGACCTGTCATTTCGGGACGTGACTGTTACAGGTGGTGGCTTGAACCTAGTTTTGAGCTGCAGGCTGTCAGAGGTCCAGCGCTTTCCCCAGAGCAGTGGGTGTGTGCAGAAGCGCGCTCAGTCCTGCGGCTGCAGCTCGCTGGCCCGACGCGGTCAGTCCTCTTGGGAAGACTCTTTGGACGTGAAGGGTTAACGTGTGAATGATCAAAGTAATTAAAAAGAGCAATTTATAATAATTGATAACATTTTTCCAGAAGGGCAAGTTTTACAGGTTAAATGGCTAAGCCTTGCTGGGAAGTTCTCTTGAGTGTGTTGGCCAGAGATTTCCTGAGACCCTGTGGGAAATCGTCCCCTTTGATACACCTTTCATTTCTCTGCTTGTCTCTCCTACATGGTTGGGTTTTTTTGTTTTGTTTTGTTTTGTTTTGTTTTGTTTTTAGCATTTCCACTCTCTGTTCTCATTTCCACGATCCTGATACAGCTGTGGTCTTAGGACTGTAGTTGTAAGTGTCCCATCCTCAGTCTCTGTAGATACCAGGAAAGTCCCCCTAACATTCACTGTCGAGTTTATTCTGTCCAGACAGGCTGGCTTACCGCCCTTTACTTTGGGAGTCCCTCGGGTCTTCAGAGCCCTCGACCGTTTGTCCTCTTGCTGTCCTCTCTCCCTCCTCTGTGCCCTCTCCCCTCCCTCCACCGCTCAGCGACCGCCTCTATCTTTCCAGAAGGGTCTTGTTGCTTTTGTCAGCACCTTCGTGCTTCCCTTGTTTCCGTGGCCCTGGGCTGCAGCGCCTCTGCCTCAGTGGCCTGGGTCATGGGTCGCGGCACAGCCGTGGCCACCTTGCAGGCCGGCATGTGCCGTGGCTCCTTCCTGCACCCGCTCTTGCCTCTGGAACAGGCTGTCACTGCACACACCTGTTTCACATAACCATTTTCCTTGTATGATTTTGTCATGTTTTATAGACTTTATAGAATTAGGGGAGCTTAGTTCTTCTTCATGCTGCTTTTGGGTCAGCCTGGTGGTTTCTGACTTGTGCGGTTTCCTCTGAAATCAAAGTCTTTCCAGAAATGCATACACAAGAACAAGAAACTCGGGATCCTGCTTCCTGAGTATTGGGGTGGCGGCAGGTCACGCAGCAGGGTGCCTGTGATGGGAGCACGCCTGCAGCCTCCCACGTGACGTAACTGTGTGTCTCGGCAGTGGACTGGATCGTCGCGGACATCCTGGCGGCGCGGCAGGGCGCCCTTGGCCACGTGCGCTACGTGCTGAAGGACGGGCTCAAGTGGCTCCCACTCTACGGCTGCTACTTCTCGCAGGTAACTCCGCCCGCCGTCTCTGTGGCATCAGCCGCAGACGCTCGGTTTCAGATGCCCTTGATATAAAATGTGAAATGCGCTTAATGTAAGTGTATGGGGCTCTGTTTTATTTCTGTGGGTTTAGTAGCTTGTTCTAAACGAGGTAATTTTATTTGGCATTTTTAATAGTGTATAATTACATACATGTCTGACTTCCCAGGTAAGCTCAATAAAATGTCAAAAATGCAAATGTCAAGTCAAAAAAAAAATGGGAAATTTTAAAGGTGTAGAATTTGAGTCGTTACTTTAAGAAGCAAATGATAACGGGAGTCATGCCTGTAGTATAGATGCGTGGCGCCTGCTGTGTGTGTATGAAGTGCTGAGTACGCGTGTCAGGCACATCGTGAATACTGAATATATGTCATTTTCCAAAATGCCCTTTAAGATCACATCATACTTGCCAGGCCATGAAATTCTGTAACATGTTCTTTTATGTGGTTGTAGCATTTGTTTCTGAACATATCTTCTATGTAATTTTTTAAGTATTACAAATTTTATACAAGAGCTGTGCTTTCAACATGACTTGAGCAACTGAAGAAGAAGAAGGGCTTGTGTCCTGTCCCGCGAGCTCTGAAACGTGGGGTCCTGCCCCCACCTCCGCTGCCTGGTGCAGGGACGGCCGCAGGTGTGGGTTCTGGCCGGCCTGGGCTGCTGCACACTGCCCACTCACCCGCTCCCGCCCCCGGGTCTGGGGAGGAGAGGGACATGAGGGACATGCATGTACCTTTCACCGACACTCGCGTGCCTTAAACTGTCAGGTACACGTGGAAGAGGAATAGCGGGTAATTGTGAACTTTGTGCCCGGAAGTAAGTTACAGAACAACTTGTTTCTCACGATTTGTGTGACGTGGAGTCGTGCTGCTCACGAGTGGGAATGGTTACTGACCAACATGAAGCAGATTTTCAAGGTTGTGTTCCTTGACAGCACCTGCTAACATAGATTTGTAGAAAACTAAATGCCTCCAGACGGCCTGTGGGAGCGCTGCCTGCGCAGTTCAGCGGCACACTAGTGCCAGGGCGCTCCCCCCCCCTCCCCCAGCCAGCCCCAGGGGCCCTTGGCAGCATGGGCACTGCCACCAGTCAGTGCCAGGTAGGGAGCGCCTGCCCCTGTGGCCCCGCGGACGGTGGCGACGTGCTGGCTTCTCCCACCGCTGGCGCCATTTATGGGCTCCGTCTATTTATAGTGTTGTGCAGCACAGCTGGTGGCCTTGTAAGCAGAGTATTAAATAGTGCATAAATTAAAAATTAAATTCTTGTCTTCCTGGAGAGAGACGCCTTTTCTGCAGTGGTTGTATTTTTACGTTTTACTTTATGTTTATTTCATTACTGTTTTTAACACAAAACTCACTGTTACACTGCAGTAATTTTGAAGGAGTATTTTGGGCATCATTGGCCTGGCCTATAAAATGTCCATAAAGTTGGTAAGATTTTATAGCAGATGCAGTGATAGTTGTTGATGATACAGGCAGCTGGGAAGGCAGGCCTGGCGCCTAGATGTAGGAGAGGAAAGAAATGGGTTTTGTTGGTGACGTTGTGCTTGATCCATGTCGGAGAGGCCCCGGGGGAGGACCGTTCATGAATAGGTTCTATACTGCTGGCCTCTGAAGGAAAAGAGGTCAGAGGCCTTCTTCATGGAAAGGCACTTTGCGCCTGGTGTTCCCCGTCAGGGGCTTTGCGTCTTCCTTCCTTCCTTCATTTCCATTTTACTAGGATCGTTCTCTCTCTTCCCCTCCTTGACCTCGAACCCAAGACAGACTGAGTTCTTAAAAACAAACATAGCCACAGATGTGTTTTATGAAATGTTTACAGACCAGCCTCAGTCACTCAGCGCTCCTTGAAGGATGCCTGATTTTTGGACTGGTAGTTCTCTAGCCCTGTGAGAACAGCACGCTCCCGTGGTCACCCTGGAGGGCTCTGGTCTTCCTTTTATGAAAGTCACCTCAAGCTGAACATGTAGAATCACCCCTGAGGCCCAGCAGCCGGGGCGGGGGGGGCCCTACCTGGTAGCCTGGAAATTGACTGCAGTGTCCCAGCAGCGCCTGCCAACTTGACTTTGGCTACACCAGCTGGACAGAGTGCCCTGCTCCTCTGTTCTCCCTCACCCCAAACTCCCGGCTCTGCGGTGACACAGAGAATTGGTCATGTTTTCCTGCAGCTCCATAGAGGTTTACTTCTCAGGCCCTAACTCTGAGCCTCACCTCCCTGCTCAGCACTGACGTCCTCGCCTGCCAGCTCTGCCAGCTACCTGCCGAGCCCAAATCTGTCTCACCTCCTGACCCTTCACTGCACCTGCGGTTGAGGGCCGCACCCCCTCCTCTCTCCGTCGCCCAGGCAGCTCCTTCCTCTGCCGCCCCCTGCCTGTGTTTTGGCTTTTTGTGGGGGCACTCGTGGGGCTCCCTCGGCGCTGGCGCCCACCCTCTGCTTCCCGCTCGGCTTTCCACTCGTCGGGGGCCTCCTCGCGGCGCCATCCATGGACGGCGCCTGGCCCTGGCCTGAAGTTGCTAGCGAGGCGGGGAGTGGAGGACACAGCCCTGTCCGTGGCAGCAGAGGGTCTCCTGGCCGAGCGTGCGTGCTGTGGCTGTGACTGCGCAGCCGGTGGGCAGTGGGGGTGTCCTGCTTGCCCTCTGGTTTGGAGGACAGGCGGTCCCCTCTGCACCAGCGAGCCGGTTCCTGGGCTTCTGCTCCTCTTCCTGAGCTTGTCCCTTCCTGAGCTTCTCTGTCCTTTTCCTTTTCCTCATATTCTTGACAAAGACCAGGTGAGAATCAACACTTTATTCGACAGATGAGTTCAAATTAGCAGGGAGGTGCTGGCCTGGCTGGGCACAGTTCAGAGAGGACTGCACCGGAGGCCATTGTCACTGTTATGAACGCGCCTGCCAGGGTTGCCATGACAAAATTCCACAGCCGGGGCCTGAACAGCAGAGTGTGTGTCCTCGTCCGGGGGTGGCTGCCCGGCTCGAGGCGGCAGCAGGGGCGGTGCCCTCCGAGGCCACCGCCGGCTCCCGGGCGCCGTCTCCTCCGGTGCTCACGTGGTCTCCCCTCTGCGTCGTCCTCTCCTCCCGTGAGGCACCTGGCCTGCTGGACTGGGTGACCCCTTAGGACCTCTTTTCACCTTAATTACCCTTCGGAAGGCCCCGCCCCAAGTGCTGTCTTGTGGGGGCTTTGGAGCTCAACATAAGGACCTGGGGAGGGCGCAGCTCCCGCCCTGACAGCGCCCCCCAGTCTCCGTCACGGAGTCAGTGTTTTGCTCCATGGCGGCTGCTAGTGTTGGCCTCCCTGAGGACACTTCTTACTCTTATGCATAGAAAAGCTGCAAACTGAGCTCAAGCCGATTGAGTTTTAAAAATTGTACCTTAAAAGAAGGCATTTTCAGCTGCCCCCGGACTCCGTGTGCTTCCCCACCCATGCAGCCGCAGTCACTTGGGTGATGCTGGCACGGGAGAGTCCTGGGGCCTGTTGTTGGGGCGCTGATACCTGGATGTGCTTGTTTCTGAGATGTAGCTGTTCTTCACTGTTTGATGCTGGCCGCTGGCCACTGACGGAACCCCTTCTGTGTGTGCAGCACGGCGGGATCTACGTGAAGCGCAGCGCCAGGTTCAACGAGGAGGAGATGCGGGCCAAGCTGCGGAGCTACGCGGACAACGGCACCCCGGTATGCCCCTGTCGTGCCGCGCGCCCCGGGGGTGGGTTCCAGCTCCAGAGTCTTGTCAAAGAGCATCCCCCTCTGCTGGGGTCCCTGTGGGCGGGTGGCATTGCCAACGGGACCTACTGCTGGGCCCTGGGCTCCTCCCGCCCCTGGGCCAGCTTCCTTCCAGAAGACGCAGCTTTGGGGAGAAATTTGGACTTTTCTATGCATCAAATTATATGAAAAGCCTCTCAAAAGTACAGGTATCTACAGATACAGAATCAGTCGTTGTAAATGCTGTTTTGTAAGGCTCTGCTCCCCAAAAAGGACCCCTTTCACTCTGCCTCACCTTTCACCTTCCGATCAGAAGGTCCGTGGGCCTTGAGTTTTGTTCCCCTTGCTCCTTGGATCTATTCAAGCAACAGTTTGCTTCGTGATCGCCTCTGCTTCTCTGCGGGCACTTTGATCTTGGTTGCTCTTCGGTGCTTTTTTTTTTTTTTTAAGATTTATTTATTTGTGCATACAAGAACTGGGGTATAAGCTAGAGATGCGGGGGGTGAGAGGATTCACCAGAGAGAGCACAGGGAGCAGAACAGGCAGATCCACAGAAATCCACTGCTGAGGGGAGCAGCAGGGAGACAGGAGAGGTCTGCCGCACCACGTGGGTAGCTCCCTGACCCATCGGGGATCGAACTCGTGCTGCAGTGGCTGCGATAGCTTGATAGTGCTGTCATTAGCCCCTGCGCCACCAGGGAGGCCCTCTTTGGTGCTTTTTAAAATAAAGTGATCCTCGGTTTTTGAGTTGGTTTCAGGAGGACTTTGGTCGGAGAACGTTGTCTCTTTCACTTTGGGCTGCTGGGGTTTTTCTGTTTGGCAGGGACAGTCTGGCTTCTTAATGTCTGATGTTGAATATCAAACGGGCAGGCTGTGAGCGGTGCCCGGCGGGGCTGTCGCCTTGAGGCACTTGGGTCCAAGGTCTGGTTTCTTAGACGCTGAATGGTCTCTCACTTTTTAATATTTAAGTGCTAGGAAACAGATACATGCTTCTCATGTTCTTCGTTATCCTCTTTTGTTTCTGAAAGTTAATTAAGTAATGGGCAAAGTGGAACATACTTACTGTATGGATTACAGCTTTTGTATGGATTAATACCCCTCAGTGGAATTTCTTTCAAGAGTGAATCAGTGCTTATTTAGTGTTAGTATTATTTGAGAGATTGCAAAATCTTGCTTCCAAAAAAATACATCTATAGTTATAAATCAGTAATTTTAAATTTACTGAAAAATAAATTTTCTCACTAATAACAATTATTACTGGAACAATATTTTCATAAGGTAGCTATGAGTAATGGATACAAATGATACATGTATGAATAAAAAACTGCATCGACGGAAACCACTCAGTTAGTTGACATTTGAGCTAATACAATGTGTGGTACAAACATGGAGTCTTATTCTTCGGCGCCCCCCAAACTTATTTGTCTCTCTCCAAATGGGAGGTAACCTTGTGGGTGAGAGTGTTGGCATGGAAATCAGATTTGCGTTTAAACCCCAACTTGCATTTAAACTTTGACTTTGCGCTAATTTTAAGTTTTAGTTTCCTTGTATGTTGAATCCATCAAAAATTAAGTTAGTAGCTCGGATTAAATAACATGCTTGAAATTAATCTTATTCTGTTTCCAAATGTTGCTATAACAAATGGCCACACATATTTTCCTGGCTTAAAAGAACACAAATTGGATATGACACCAAAAGCACAGGCACCAAAAGCAAAATTTTAAAAAGTGGGACCACCTCCCCCTGAGGAATGTCCGCACAACAATAGGAACAGCCAACAAAATGAGAACATCGCCCACGGGGTGGGAGCTGTCACCAACCACCCTTGTCTCCGATAAGATGTTCGTTTCCAAAATGTATGAGGAACTCACACAAATCAATAGAAAGAAAAAAAATAACCTGTTTTAAAAATGGGCAAAGTACCTAACTAGACATTTATTCAAGGAAGACGTGCAGATGTCCACCAGGCGTATGGAAAACTGCTTGGCCACCTCACGCCTGTTGGCATCACTCTGCTCCCAGAATGGTAAGGTGGTAGGTACCAGTGAGTCTGGAGAGAGAAAAAGACCTTTAGACGCCGCTGCTATGTGGGCACAGCCATCTTGGAAGTGCTAGGAGAGATTCCAAATAGAATCACCGCATGGTCTGACAGCTCAGCCTCTGGGGCCAGCGCGCTCTCGCCCAGGCCCTGCCGCGCCAGCCACGGGAACCCAGTCAGGAGCCAGCGTGCCCATGGCGGATGGTCGGGTAGGAATGTGGCGCACATGACAGGCTGTGCGTCCAAGTGAGGGGCCCCCGTCACACCACACGCAGTTATGTCCTTCCAGGAAAGGCTAGTACTGCGTGTCTCGCTGGTACGTGGCATCTGAGAAGCCAGGCTGGTGGAAGCAGAGAGTGGAGTGCTGGTGCCCAGGGCGGAGGGCGGTCAGAGGGCACCAACTCGCAGCTGTAAGAGGAGTGAGCTCTGGGCTCCCCATGTGCAGAGGGGACTACAGTGCCCATGCCGCGCCTGAGCCGGGGGAGAGACCGCGCACCCAGCAGAGGCGCAAGCAGGTGACTGGAGGGCCACGGGCTGGCGAACCTGACTGCGGCCAGCTGGGCACGAAGCGCTTATGCGTTGGAGGAGCATGTGTGCCCCGTGAGTAGGTTACCTGTTAGTCCTGCTTCAGCAACTGGGAGGTGATTTTCCTAACGGTCCTGGAGGCCCGCAGCCTCGCAAAGCCCTGCCTTCCTGGCCGTGACTGCCTTTTCCCTCTGCAGCCAGCGCTGGCTGGGCCGGCCATCTTTGGCGGGTGATCTTCTCGCTTCTCACTCTCCTGCTCCCCCTTCCTAAGAGTGAGCGCGGGGCCCAGCTGCAATCCTGCGAGACCATCCTGCCCTGAGTCCCAGCACCGAGCCGCCTTTGTGCTTCTCCCGTGAACCTGCAGCTGCGGGCTTGGTCAGGGGGTGCACATGGGGAGGCCGTGTGGCATGTGCGATTTTGGGGTTGTTTTCTGACCCCGCTTACTGCACCCGGTTAACTAACGAATACACTCTTGGAGGAAAGACACAGGCATTGTATCCTGCGACGTGTCTGGGTCCTTTCCTCCATGATCTTTAATAAGATTAATAAGAATCTTTACTGGGAGCTGATATCCCGGTTTCCACTGCAGAACACCTTGTTGTGATTTGCCCGATTGGATTAATTTGGGGAACCACAGACAGAGATGAACTGTCATGTTTATATTCCATGTATCTTGATACGAAATCACTTTTTAGTTAATGAAAAAGCATTACTTTAAAGATGTCTAGCTAGTCATAGTTCATTGTTCTATTTTTTCTATCCAAATGTGCCCCCTTTGAAAGTCTTCTGGAAACTAGATAGAACTTTTAAAAGCCAAAGGGGAGGGAAAGTTAATATGTCTTAAGAGTCAGCCACATGGTGCTTGATATATTTTCACTTTTTTTTTTTTTTGAGTTTTATTTATTTATGCATACAAGAACCGGGGTACAAGCCAGATGTGTGGGGGTAAGAGGTTTCACCAGAGAGAGAGTGGGGAGCAGAACAGGCAGACTGACTGAAATCCACTGCTGAGGGGAGCAGCGAGCGAGACAGGAGAGGTCTGCTGCGCCATGTGGGAATCTCCGGGGATGGAACTCGTGCTGCAGAGGCTGCAGTTAGGCTCATAGGTTGCATCTTAACCCCTTGCGCCACCAGGGAGGCCCCACATTTTTTCTTAATCCCACAGCCACCCTGAGTGAGAAGCGGAGACCTGCCCAGTGGGGAGAGGCCCTGCTCAGAGTCCAGTAGTCTGTTGCACTTCGAAAACGTTTAAAAGCTCGAATCACTCTCTTCTGTCTGAGTAGACGCTCAAGGTGACATCACTACTCATTTCCATTAGGGCTGGATCGTTTGTTTCTAAGGGTGCATCATCATCTTAATATAGGAAATCGCCAAAGAAAAGAGTCTCTGGTTCCTTACAAATGAAAATTTAACAGAATAAGAGGTTTATTTTGTAACCAGTGGCTGAAGCCAAAGATGATTACAGGTGGTGCTCCCTGAACGGGGGTTGCTGGTGAGGATGGATAGCTGCAGGGAAAATGCTAAAAAGCATCGCATCGGGGGTGGAGTCACTGGTAAGAAATGGAAGGAACTGCAGAAGCAGCTGCAGATTATTCAGGGTTTGGGATTCAGCATTTCCGGGGTCAGTGATTTTTGGCCCCCACCCCAAAGACCGTTGAGAAGGCTGGTGCAGGCCTCCGATGAACATACAGAGGCCTCCGGCAGCCAGCCTCAAAGAGGAAAAAAGTTTGGATGCTTTGCAAGTAGTGGAGTGAGCGAAACTGTACCTGGTTTTGCTGCTGCCACAGCCTGGCAGGGCAGGCGGAGCAGGAGCCTCGCTGAACTGTGAGTGTGGCCATTTGTCAGGGAGTTTGGCCACTGTAGCTGCTGCCTTGAGTGTCGCTTGTCTGGTGCAGCTCATGGAGCATCTCCTGTTGGGTCTTTTGTTGGCTTCGTAAGTTGGAACTGGCCTATAGTCCGGCTGCCACATGCTCCAGGTCCACGGTGGCAGGAAGACGCAGTCTTGGCACGTGGCCTGTTGTTTGGGAGAGGAACGCCCCTTCCTCAGGGGTGGGAAGACGCCATCTTAGCTGCTTTTGTTTAGGACTTGAAAACAGTGGACACTGCTTCGGGTGAGGTAAACGGCCATTTTTGGCCCCAGTAATTTTTTTTCCCCTGATTTGTTAAATCCCATTGTTCTCTGAGCCTGCGTGGTCTTTCAAGCATGTGCGCCAGTCAAGAACCAAGACAGTGACCGGTAAACTACTTGGGCAGTGTCCTTGGCCAGTGTTAGTGCCCCTTGCTGCCTTGTATCAGTTTGAGTAGTAGCAAAAAATCTACATACTTAGATTTGTTTGGAATAGTTCGTCACTGTTTTCTGTGGCCCTTGTAACTTCCCTGGCCCTGAGCAAGGATTTTATTTACACTACCCTTGGGAATGGGGCAAGAAATGTCAGACTGCGGACACTCGTGTCTGGCGCTCATGGGCGCTTTATCGTCTCCATGTCCACAGGAAAGGTAAGTGCCACTTGGCCCCAGTTTGAAAGCTAAGCAAGTATCTAGTGGATGAGAATCCCAGAAGGAGAACAGAGAAGCCTCACAGTGCTTTGAACTCGGACATCTTGACCGTCCCTGCAAGGCCGGAGGCTCGGGCAGGAGCGAGGGAGGAGGGCCTTGAGACTGCCATTCCCGTTCGCAGCCTGCAGGGCTGATGAGGGTCAACTGCTCCTCCTCCCCCATGTCGCCTCCAGCTCTGAGGCCCTGAGTTCTGTTGTCACCAACAACAAACTGCACGTTACTTGCCACCAGCCCTGCGTGGAGTAGATAGCGTCAGTCACTCCCCTGTGGCCACGCTGAGGTGCCCATGCGCAGTGGACAGCGCGTGTCTGCCCAGGCCGGGGCTTGTGGTGGTGGCTGGGGTGTGCAGCCAGCTGCTCGGCCTCCCTGGCTGTTGCCTTTGTCAATACGACAGCATCTGGAGACCACCTGCTTGCTCGGTGGCCATGGGCGACCCTCCCTGGTCCAGCGCTGTGCACCTCCGAGCTGGCTGGGCCTTCATTCTGTGCAATATGATTTTTTTTTTTTTTTTTTTAAATTTGGGAACTTACTTCCTGACTTGTGGAGACAGAGATTGTAATGAGCTGTGGGGTCTTGGGATTTTTTTGTTGTTTCAAAAAATTGAGAGATAATTTACATACTATAGATTTAACAAAATCCACTGCCTTAAAATGTACAGCTCCATGACTTCTCATGTATATGCCAAGTTGAGGGGCCATCACCATTATCTAATTACAGAATTAGGTTCCATCACCCCAAAAAGTGACTATTAGCCATTCCTCCCTCCCCGGCCCCATCATGTGTAGCCCGTCTTTTTGTCTCACTGCCCATGACTGGTGCCCGCCGTGCCTCAGGCTCCCACAGCTCAGTACCCGGCACACTGTGTCTTTTCGCTCTGGACCACCCCCCCCCTCCCCTTTTCCAAAGTGCCATGGCTGAGGGGTGACTGATGCAGTCAGTGGCTGGTGGTCACGGCACCGGATGCCCCGAGTCTGGGCCTAGAGCTCCTACCCACCAGGCCACCTCCACCACCAGGTGCCCGCATGCCCTTTCCTGCAGGTGCTCCCTAGCCTCCTGCCTGTGGTATCCGGAGCGGTCACTGCCCTGCTCTGCCCCGGAGCCAGCCGCAGACAGAACGTGCGGTTGTGCTGCTGGGGGTGTCTTGCTGCTTCCACTGAGCGTGATCATTCTGAGCGTCGCCCATGTCGTCCTGGGTGTGAGTGGGTGTTCTCGTTACTGCTGGTGTCCTGTCGTCACTGCCCCCGGGGGCTCTTGAGAGTGGCTCCTCAGAACATTCTGTACAGGTCTTTGTATCTGTGACTTGCCTTTTCATGTTCATCATGGTGTCTTGAAGAACAAAAGATTTTTAGTTTTGCTTACGTCCGAGATTTTTCTCTCATGATTTCTGCCCCACAGTGGAGCAAGGACTGATAGGACGCCAGCTGCCCCTCGGAGCCAGTCACTCACAGCACCATGTGCGGCGACTCTTCAAGTCGGACTCGATTCTAGACACACGGTTGACTGATGGATAGGGGCTCTTTGTCCTGGAACCGTGCTAAACTGACCATCTAGTAACTTTTAAAGAACATTTCTCGGGATTTCCACCTAGGTAATCTTGCTGTCTGTGTGTAAAAGCTCCCGCCTTTCTTTTTGACTCGGCCTTCTTTCACTGCCTGTTCTTGCCCGGTTGACCTGGCCAGAGCCCCGGTGCCGCGCCCAGCGGGGGCCCGTGGCCTGGCCGCCTCCGCTGGGGAGAGCTCCCCCCTTTCCCGACATGCTTCTCGTTCCTGGCGTGCGCTCCAGGCGCCTTTTCAGGGCCCCCCTTTATCGCACCTTGCTCATGCTCTTGGCATTTTATCTTTGTGTTTACTCGTCTTGTGTACAGTTTCCTCAGTCATCTGCGGAGACCCTGTCTGTCTCATGTACGGGAGCAGACACACAGTAGGCGTACAAGGACGTGTCCTTGAATGAACCCTGAACAAATATTTCATCCTTGCTCTCTTGCTGACCATCAGTGTTCTTTTAAATTAAATGTCCGAGAAGCGTGAAATTGCACCATGGGAATTATTAACTTTTCAAATCATGAATCATGTGATTCATAAATGACAGTGAAAAGCTGAAAACCAAAGCAGTCATTGCTTTCGCGACTTGGAGCACACACCGGGCCGATCGCAGTATTCTGGTGATGCGAATGTGTTTTGGACAACTTCTAATTTTAATAGTTTTTTTTCCGGTTTTTCCTTCTGGTGGCGGGGTTGGCGCAGACGGTGCCGTCTGGATGGAGAGAGCGAGCGTGTGCTGCCCGGGTGCAGGGCTGGGGCCTGCCTAGGCACCTCCGCTCCTCCCCCGCTGCTGCGTCCCGCCCGCGCCTGGGCAGCGGGGAGCGTGTCTGCTGGACCAGCCCCACGTGGTGCTGTCTTTGTGGCCTGGCCCTGAACTTGGGTGTTTTTCACTGTAGAGCTTTGTTGTTTCTGTTTTTCGTTCCCAAGCGGAAAAATGTAAACGCTTAGACCGCTTTCTTCGCGAGCATTCAGCTTGACCCCCTCTTTGATTTGTAGGCGCGTTCATATTCAGGTTATGAGGCTGCTTATAAATTGAGTCCTTCGAAATGCATGGAGGCATCTCTGTGCAGCAGGGCCCCGAGAGAGTGAGTGAGACGCAAACACTGTTGGGGAATCTCGCCCAGTAGGTGTGCGATCCCTCAGGTGAGGTGGCGTTGAGCATCGGTGCTGAGGGACCCTGGTTTCTAAGACGTGTGCCTTTTAAAAATGTCATTTGGCAGAATCTTCTGGACAAAGGCTCTTTCATTAGTTGAGAATTATCAGCATTTCACAGCCGGTTTTTAAATCAGTGCCTGTTAGCGTGTCATCGGGATGTGCTTCGGCTCTGACCCCTCCGACCAACCGGCGGGTGTGGGCTGCAGGTTAAATCGAGCCCGTGTTATGCCGCAGCGCCCCGGGCTTCTGCCTTCCGTTGCTCTGCTTGAAATGAAGCAGAATGTGAATATACATTTTTTCCACATTAGGAAATAGGCAGAGCACGGATAGGGTTATTAGCATTGGCAAGTTAACAACCACCACCAAAAATTTTGCTCACACAATATATACCAAATTTTGTTTGTGCTTTGCAGATGTTTCTTGTGATTTTCCCGGAGGGAACACGATTTAACCCAGAACTAACAAAAGTCCTCGCAGCTAGTCAAGCATTTGCTGCTCAAGAAGGTAAGCAAAGTTTTGTACTTGAAACAGTCATTTTTAAAAGGTAATAATCACCTCCTTAGGGTTTGTTGCTGGAGAAGATTTTTCTGGTTCACCACAACTGGAATGAATGGGTGGGTGCGCCGTCCCTAGGGAGCGAGGCTTCTCCTCGCGCTTCTCCAGCTACTGCAGCGTGTGCCTGAGGGTGCCGCCAGGTGCCTGCTGCGGCGGGGGTCCTGGGGACACTCGGCGCAGACCAGCCTGGCCGCGGCTGCGTGGGTGGCGCCTCCTACAGTGGGCTCCACGCGATATGAGGAACATACTGTCACCTAATGTGACTCAGCTTTGGTCTCCTCGTCCCTGAAAAGATGCAGACCCCACGGGCCTCCGTAGATCTGAATATGAGTTAAATGAGAGGATTCTTGAAGGCCCCTGGGGAATATGCCACAAGTTGTGTTCACATTCCTCAGAGGTTCTGCACAGAGAGCCTCGCCACACAGCCCCCCTGGCAGGTCCCCGTTCCGCTCGGGTGGAGGCCGGGGGTATAGAGAGAAGGGTTAGGGGTATTGACATTGGGAGTGGAGAATGGGGGTGAGCAAGAAAGAAGTCTCAGTCCTCTCATAACCTGATTTTGGAGGTTTTGCCACATTCTGTGTTAGAAGGGAGTGACTGGGTCCGCCCAGCTACTGCGGGGAGAGAGCACAGGGGCTACCCTGGGAGGTGGGCGTTGCTGGGCTCTCGAAGAGGCCAGCTGGACACTGGCATTGAAGGGCTCCACCCAAATGGTTACTGCAGGCTAGACCATGACTTGGGAGCTAGGAGCAGAGGCCATGCGGTCACGTCACTCCAGGTGTGGTGCACGACGGACCTGGTGCGGGGGGACACACCCGGGCAGAGGGGCCACTGAAGCGATGAGAAGCTACCAGGTGTCTGTCCTCAGCGAGGAGGAGGGCGGGCCTGAGCAAGACGAAGCCCGCCGCGTCACGTGGTGGAGGTGACGACTCGACTCTCTGCAGTAGTTGGAGTTCAGAGAAGTTTCAGTATCTTTTGTTCTAGCAGTTTTGCCCCTTGCAGCTGTTATAATGTCTGAGGGACTCAGTCACAAGTACTGGGGCGAGACAAAGCGAGTGCTGGATGCTGCATCCTGTCTGGCGCACTGCCCAGTCCCTGTTCCCTGTGGAGGGGAGTAGGTGCCGGGAGAAGGGGCACAGCCCCAGCTGTGCTTGTGTGAGCATAACAGTAATGTGTGCTGTTAGCTTGGGGCGCTTCTGGTTTCTTTGGTAAATAGTCTGTGTCTATGTTCCTGTTTAAATATTGGCATACTTTTCACAGTTGGGTGAGAGAAATGTTTATATGCAAATAGATACATTTACATTCACTTTGTTATATTGTTATAGTCAGAGTCCTAATTGTCGTCCAGGTCACTGTGCTGGTCCCTGCAGGCTGCCTTAGTCCCAGCCCGAGGCCTGGTGGCTTACACAGCAGACCTCATCTTCCGACGGCTCTGAGCCGAGCTGGTCCAGGCCCTGGGCCTATGCAGCTGCATCCCGGGGCAGCTCCTCCCGGTCTACCCATGGCAGCCTCCTCAGTGTGTCCTCACCTGGCCTTCCCTCAACTCCAGAGAAAGGCCTCTGTGTCCCTTCTTTTTATAGGAAACCAGCCCTGTGGGGCCTACCCTCATGACCTCACTTCACCATAACAGTTCCTGCAGCGGCACCATCTCTAAGCTCAGTCTCGATGGGGTTGGGGCTTCAGGAAGCACTGGAGGGTGTACTGGGGGGCAAACTCCAGCTCAGAGCAACACCTGAAATTATTTTTCTACATTTAATTCTATTTAATATTGACAATTCTTAATTCATCATTTTAGAACAACGAGCTAAATATATGCCTTTTATTGCCCAATCTCATTAACAGACATGATTGTTCAACATAGCTGCTAAAAGTAATTTTTAAAAAACCACATGAATGTTGTAATGCTTAAACTAATCTCTTCAAGTAAATCTAAAAGCAGCGATCATGGTCTGTGGTCCAGCCTGGTCTACTAAACCGTCGTTCCCGGTAATTGATTGACTATAGAAGTCTTTCCTCTGTGGGAGTTGTGGATCTTTCTTGAAGCTACCAAAAAGGAAAGAAAGAGAATCATTTGGCTTATGAATGGATGTGATTTTTAGCTGCTTTCTGTTCTTTAAACTGTGTAACTGGGAAAGCTGCTGTTTACTAAAGTACATTCTCCTCTGACTATAAAGGTAGTGATTTCCCACCACACGCAAAGGAAATTGATTTGTGAACAGTATATCTAGAAAAAGTCTTTCCTGTTTTCTTTCCTGTTAGGTCACGACTAAATGAGATAACTTGAAAATAAAAACAAAACAACTTGTTTCTCCATCTGTTAAGCTAATTTTTCTTCAAGAAAGTTGAAACTAATAACTTGTTAGCCTGTGATGTGTTTGCTTCAGAAGGTGATTAATTTTGCTCTTAAAATACCTTGATTTGACTCTGACTTAAAAAAAAAAAAAAACATTGAAAAACCAAAACCCACCTTTTAAATCTAGATATTCAGAATTTGGCACTTGGTGACCTGCTGTAAGTCACATCCCACACCCCTGTTCAGTTTCCTGTGGCCAGCGGTGTTGCCTGTCTAGGAAGAGTGGTGGTGGGCATGCGTCTGCAAGTCTGCCAGTCTGCCTTAACCATCAGTATTTCAGCGGCCTGTTGTCACTACTGACTACAGCTATTTTGCTCCAAGAATAAGGCGTCACAGGACATGCGGGGTCTGCGTCAGGACAGTGGTTGGAGGATGCCCGGGACCACAGCTCCTGAGTCTCTGCTCCCCGAAGAGGTGGTTTATGTCCTCCAGCCTGCTTACTACCTGTCAGCCACTCCTTCCAGAAGGTAGGAGTGGCCACTCCTTCCAGATAAACTACTGGAGACTTTAACTGTAGTCTCATCAAGCAAAAATTAAGATCTTCAGAGATCTGAAGTACAGATAGAATTTTCAAGAAACAACTACATGTTAAGTTAGCAGGATGTACGCTGAAGGCTGCTCAATTTTGTAATAGTAAATCAGGGAAAAGAGAATTCTAATTTCAGAAAGGCTCACGTGGGATTTATCATTTACCCAGACGATGGTAAAATAGTAAAGACGACGTCAGAGTGATTTATGATTATGAATGTATTAGTAGTTTGTCGTAGAATAGGCTTATGTAAATGTAAATGAACCAGTTTGTAGGTAAGAGGGTCTTTCTGTAATCATGTCTCTAAAATAGTTGCTGTGGGGGCTCAGGTCAGCTGTGGGTTAGATCTGTCTGGGCCCGTGGCTTCGCGGCAGGTCACGTCCTTGGCGGCTGTCGTGTGGCGGTGCCTGCGTGTCTGCGGGGCTTGGCTGGGCGCGGCAGCGCCATCTGCCCCCAGGAGGAGCGCCGTGAGCCCTGTGGCCTGGACTCCCACTGCACCAGGGACGGCAGGTGGCTCCGGAGGTAAGAACAGGAAAGAATCAGTGGGAAGAGCCAATCAGACCGTGCATCACTGCTCTAGTGTCTGCTGCCCCCTAGGCTGGTCATGTCTGGACAGCGGGGCTTCATGGAAGGGTGAGGGAGGGCCCCTCGAGTCACACCTGTGATCAGAGGGTGGGGGTCCGTTTCATCACTCAGGGCTCAGATTCTCCCCGAGACCCTCTCACTCCCGGGTCTGCAGGACTCCTGCTGCTCCCCGGGCTCAGGGGGCTGCTGCGGCAGGTCACAGCTTTGGCGGGGAGGGTAGGCGGCAGCCTCTGGCAGAGCTGGGAGAGCGGGGGAGGGAGAGGAGGTGGCCTGTCAGGCACGCAGTGCCGCGGATGTAGCAGCCGTCACCAACCTCCCGAGCTCTCTTTGGTCCTCGAGGCCATTTCCATATCATTTCCTTAAAAATGTTAGCAATAAATGGTCCTGCTGTCTGTCCCTCCTGTCTTCTCACACCCCTGCCGTGCTCACTGCAGGCCAAAGCAGTGGTTCTCCAGCGGCGTCTCAGCCAGCACCCTCAGTGCTGGATGGGGACCTGTTTGAGTGTAGGTTCCCGGGGCCCACCAGACCTGCTTCCTCAGACACCCCGGGGCTCAGGCTCAACCTGCCAGTGACCCCAGGCCTCTCTGAGCATTAGAATCACGGGTCTATGCAGGACTAGTCACATGCTCAGCAGCTTCGTTGGAAAGGATCCGGGTGTTTCAGCCAGACCACTTGGACAGTAGTTACGGGTAAACCTTCATTCCATACCTACGTTTCATTAAGAAAAAGAAAGAAAAGGCAATTACACTCCATTCTGGCTGTGGGAGAGGAGCCGTGAGGGCTCCCCCAGGCTCCCAGCATCCTTGGCGCGGGGGTCTGCGCTGACTTTCTAAGAGTCAGCTCAGACGTTCTCTCCGGTGGCTGTGGAGGAATTTGCAATCTCGTGCATCTTAATCTTCCTCCTGAACCTTTCAAGATTGCGCCCCCACGCGTGGGTGGTTTTGTTACCTTGGTGGCCAAAAGAGTCATTTTGAGCCCTCGTGGTAGAAAACAGGAGGTCAGTTCCACAGTGGCAGCTGTGACGGCAAACCCAATCCCTCGATGTCCACGTCCTTGACGAGGACTAAGAGCTTGGTGGTCCCGTACCCTTGGAAACAGGCGATAGATTGAGACATTCGGGAGGGGAGGGGGACAGAGAGGGTGAGAGTAGAAAAGGTGGGGGCCAGGGGAACACCATGGACGATGGTGGAGGACTGTGGGTCCTCTGGTGGTGGGAAAACTAGGCTGACCACACCTGAGGGAGAAGTCCTGTACTGTGGAAAAATAAACAAGGATGTTAGAGAGAGAGAGAATCTTGGTGGTCTTAAAACCCTTCAGGGTGTGTGGGATTCAGTTTTATTCCGTGGTGAATAATACCCACCGCTGTGTAGGCCCCGGGTCCTCCAGAGCATCAGAACAAAAGGAATTTGGCCCTTGGTAGACGTGACGGAAATTTAATTCTATCTGAAGCAGCGTCTGAACAAATTCAGGCGGCACACGGCAAGGTGGTGGTGTTTGTGTGTCAACAAACTTAGTTATAGAAGAGCCCTTGCTGGCTGGGAAGAGAAAGGCATAGACGCAAACACGGGACAGGACTGAGGAGGGGCTTCGGAGATGGGGGCGCCCGCACCTGGGAAGGTGGTCTTCATCCCGAAGTGCCGGGGGCCACAGCAGGCACGCTCCTGGCAGGAGCCGGTTGGGGGCCAGGGTGCGCAGAGGTGGGCCTGGGGCCTGGGCCGCGAGCTGTGCCGTGGGCCTTGGCGAGAGGCCCCGTGCGTTGTCCGCCGCGAGCAGTGGGATTTCACGCCGTCTGTGGCGGGCCGGCGCCTCTCCCCCTTGCAGCTCCTCTCTGGGGGAAGCGTTCCTCTTCTGTCTCTTTCACCTGCCGACTGTTCAGAGCCTGGTGACCACTGGAGCCGCTAAGCGTTCTCCCGATGCCACGGGCGCGTCTGTGGGCCTTGGGACTTAGTGAAGTTGGCTGGCCTCCAGGAGCAGAGACGGAAGTAGCAGCTGACTTGCTGGGCAAGTGTTTCCCAGCCTGGTACACTGTTCGGCTTTTTGTTACAAGTTTGTGAGTAAATTGAACTGTTTCTGCCCTGGGGACTCGGGACAGATGCGCGGCTGTGGGAACCTTCTCCTTTCCCACACCCTGCCGCATTGCGCGCATTCCTGTGCGGCCCCGGCTCCCTGCGCTGGCTCGCACGCGCTCCTGCTCCCGGGGGAGGCCCCCTCGCTCCAAGTCTAGCTTCTTTCTCGCTGTTTCATGGCACTTTTTTCAGAGAGCTGCGCTTTTCTGTTAAATTGCCAGTAATTATCCTAATCAAGGAAGAGGGGGGTGTAGGCAATGGGAGGGGGACCAGGCCGTGTGCTTCACAGGAGCAGGGCGCGGGGCGGTGCCATCCCTCTGTGCGCTGCGCACGTCCTCGTGAAGCTCTGACCCCCGCGGACGTGCTCCCGTGAGCTGGCCACGTCGCGTTCCATGGTGGGGTCGCAGCCAAAGGAGCCCGCCAGCCTAAACACCATCAGGTGTCTGGTGGGCCAACAGACGTTGCCCTGCCGCGCACTGGAAATAACGAGCAGACGCCTCAGCGTGGAAGCACCTCAGAGATGTGGGGCTGTGATGGCTCCAGACCCCCGAGTCCACGCGCTGTGTGATTCCATGTATGTGAAATGTGCCAAAGAGGCAAATTCACAGAAGGTGCCCCGGGGGTGTCTTGGGAGGGGGCGTGATGTCTGCAGGGGTGCCGTGTCTGGCATGGTGAGGACGGTGGGGGTCTGTGAGGATGCCCAAGCCCGCTGAATCGTATCCTCCAAACGGCGGGTTTTATGGCATGTCACTTACAGCTCCATCGTTTCAAAAAGTACACCAAGACTCGGGTCTCCCGTCGGCCATCACGTCACCCTGCGTGACTGTGTCTGCCCTGACGTCAGAGATTGCACAGTACAGGGTCACTGAAGTGACCTTGTCCTCGCCACGCCGCCCATGCACACCCCACACACATCACCCCCGCAAACACGCGCGCGTGCCCTCTCGTGAGTAGAAACCGAGCTCAGTCACAGGCTGGAGTCAGAGAGGACTGTGCTGCTGACCCGCGCGTGTCCGTGGGGAGTGAGGGCAGTGCTTGCCCTTGCAGAGTTGGCCAGATGGGAGGTTGCTGGAGGCCGCTGGCTCGCAGGAGAGGGTCAGGTCTCTAAATGTGTGTGAGCTGGACGTTGACGCAGAGGCTCGTGTGAGCGTGTTCGCTCAGGGCCAGCGTCCTGAAGTGAGCGGCGTGGCCCTGTCAGCCCTGGTCGGGCGCCTGGGAGTGGAAACCGCTGCTCTCCCAGCTGCTCTGACCCGCCGCGTCGCCTTCCTTTCCAGGCCTCGCAGTATTAAGACACGTGCTCACGCCGAGGATAAAGGCGACACACATTGCTTTTGATTCGATGAAAAATTATTTAGATGCAATTTATGACGTGACCGTGGCTTTTGAAGGGACAATGGACGAGAAAGGCCAGCGGAAAGAGGCACCATCCATGGCTGGTGAGTTCGCCCTGGAGTCCTGCTGTCTAGGGCGGGGATTCCCGACACCACCCCACCCCCCCGCCCCCCCCCCAGGTGGCTGCGTGGACACCGATCATCACGGGGGCTGATTGTGCTTTCCAGGCCAACGCGCTCGAGTGTTTTTCTGGCTTTTTCCATTGCTCAGTCCCCACCTGCCCGGCTCAGGGCGACCTTAACCCGGCATCTGTCTGCCCGGGCAGGAGGGGAGGGCTACGGCCGACAGCATTGAGGTGTGTCGTTTTCCTCTAAGGTTTACGAGATTTGGCATCACTGATGCCAAATGAAGACTTTTTCTTTAGTCCAACCTGGGTGCCTCCAGGGCGGGGCGTCTCAGCAAGACATGAGCCAACACACCCGACGGCCAGAGAGAGATGGGCAGGGCGGCGTGTGACCTCGCACCCTGCTCCGCAGGCCCCAGGCTGGACGCCGGGCTGGATGCCGGGCAGGGGCTCCTCAGGCCTGAGGGCACCTGGTGAGGTGCAGACCCTGCTCCGCAGACTTGGCATTCTGCCCCTGCTGCTGCCCGGGGGCGTGGGTGGCACAGCGGAGCGCCTGCGCCTCAGGGACCAAGGGTCAGGCACGCAGGTCATCGGGAGCTGCAAGGGAGCACGCATCTCTGAGTGAAGCAGGAGAGGCTGGGTCCATTTGTGGCAGGCACAGAGAGGACGCAGAGGCCGGAGCCAGCGGCCGGGCCTTGTGGGCATTGTGGCTGCAGACAAGGCCGCTCCAGCCAGGCAGCATCTGGCAGGGGCAGGCACGTGAGCCAGCGGGTGTGCAAGGGCGTCGCCTGGCCGCCTGCGACCAGCGGGACTTGGCGTCCTGTGAGCCTGCCAGCCCCGGCCGCCCCCAGCTGAGCCTGCGCTGCCAGTTCACCCCTTTGTTTTCACTTTTTTTGGGGGGGCGAGATGAAGAATCTGTACCTTTTGGCTTTTTGTGTGAGTACCAGAAAAAAACTGAACTGTTTTTCTTTCTTGTTAGAATTTCTCTGCAAGGAGTGTCCGAAAATCCACATCCACATCGACCGCATCGACAGAAGCGACGTCCCGGAGGAGCGCGTGTTCATGAGGAGGTGGCTGCACGAGCGCTTCGAGATCAAAGACAAGTGAGTAGCTGCTGCCCCTGCTCCCGAGACGCGGCTCCACTCAGGTGGGCAGTGTAAGGTGGATGCTGGCACTGCCGTGAGGCGGGAACCACCTTCTAGAAAGCAGGCTGGGGCTTGCTTGGGGGGGCGGGGGGGTGCTGTCGTCAGCACAGTGTTTCCTGGACAGCACGAGGCCAGTGGGGGCCAGGGTCGGGCAGGTGGGGGTGCGGGGCTGCCCAAGGTGTGTGTGAAACCACACGCACGCGTGTTACAGAGGAAGGGGCAGCTGGCACCTCACAGCCACGGGGTCTTTTTGCCGTTAGGGTTTTGGGCCTAAACAGTCCCTGGGACTGACCTTGAGCTTGTCCCTGCTGATGTCACCTCCGTGGAACCTGCCTGGAGGCGGCGGCTGATGGTCTGGGCACCACGGGTGAGGCGAGCCAGAGGGGCGGTGGCCTCTGGGGGCAGCCCAGGGGCCACGGGCAGGTGAGCCGCTCCTCAGCTCCCTGCTGAGGAAATTGACCTCATACACGTCTCTAAAAAATTAGGAATTTTTGGGTTTTGTTTTCTTTTTAGAAAGATAAGAAGTCGGTCTTACCTTTAGATACTGTATTTTGAAATGGAAGTTTCTGGAATGAAAACTTCATCGAATATTCTGAACTTTATTTGCTGTTTACTTTGCTGGACCTGTTGACCTCTTTTGACGCGTGTACAGTCTTTCTGAAAGATATTTGAGACAATTATACTTTCTGATCCCCTTTTTGGAAAAAAGTGGATCATCACATACAGAACGCATCGTTTATTATGATAAATACTTAAAAAATCTCCCCTGAAGTCTTGTTCTGCTTCTGATCTTCTCTGGAGACTGTCATTCCCTCCTTTCCTGACCGCCCCGACCGCCCCGCAGAGGAGCTGCTCTCGCGCCCTCCTGAGTCCACTGACACCCGTGGAGATCATTAACTGTGTCGGGAGGTTGGAAACGAGGCGTTACCAAGTCTGAACGAGTCGCGGGTTCTGTGTTCCTCTGGCTCCCCGTCATCCGTGGGGCGACTCCCTGAGCCGGCCCCAGGCCAGGGCGCTCTGGTCCTGGCAGAGTTTCTGCGCGGCAGATCTCTGCTTTGCCGTGAGGGTGGTTTTCTGGAAAGAGGCCTGAGCACGTGTTCACGCGGCAGCCCCTGGCCCTGGGGAGTTGCGGTTGGGAGGCGGTGGTTTTCCTTGGGGAGTCGGGTTTCTGGGCCTTAGAGGGACCTCCTGGTTCTGTTGTTTCCTGTTGGAGACTCTGTGTGAAGCACGTTGTGCGGGGACGACCTCGGGGTTTTGTAGCCGAGGGCCACGGGTGACTGCCAGCCCCCGCTTCTCAGCTTGGGGTGAGCAGGGCCTCTGGGCGCCCGCCTGTGTGTTCAGGGGACGCCTGGTCTCTCCCCTGGCCGGGAAGAGAGGGGAGGAGGCGGCGAGGCCGCGCGGGGTTAGCCGGGTGGGGCCTGCCCGTGAGCGGAGTTGGAAGATCTGACGTGTGCGAGCCCCGCCCGGAACGCGCCCGCGTGGTGTTCGCAGGACGTGGGTGCACGGATTCCTGTCCCGGGGCAGAGCCCGGCGCCGCGGCCCTGGCCCTGGCCGTCTTCCCCTGTGTTCCGCGCGGGCCTCTGGCTCTCCAGGCGGTACCTGTTGAAATGACGCGAACTGAAACTGCTTTTCCCCATTCTGGCTGCAGGTTACTTATAGAATTCTATGATTCAGTGGATCCAGAAAGAAGAAACAGATTTCCTGGGGAAAGTGTTAATTCTAAATTAAGTCTCAGGAAGACTGTGCCGTCGTTGCTGATCTTGAGTGGCTTGACTGCTGGCATGCTCATGACCGAGTCCGGGAGGAAACTGTACCTCAGAACCTGGGTCTTCGGAACCTTGATCGGCTGCTTGTGGGTTAGTATTAAGCCTTAGCAGGCCTCCGGCCCGGCCCGGGTGTGCGCTGCGCTTGGGGCCGGAGCTGCGCGTGACATCACGGTGGGTCCTGAGCTGACGAAGAAGTGTAAATAAAGTCTTGTTGATTGACCTTTGGATAAAACAGAATTTCTGACGGAAGCCGACAGGCAGTTGGTCTTGTGCAGACACCCAGGGTTTGGCACCTCTGGCCCCGCAGCTGCTCCAGGTGAGAGCTGAGTGGGGTCTGCGCTGCCCGTGGCGTGTCCGCGACCCGGCGCTGACCCCGACGCCGCTGGGCTGGACGCACCTCTGCCCTGCAGCTCGACGGCCGCGTTGTGAGCCTGCGTCTGCCGTGTGTTGCGCCAGATTTGTTCTTTTCTGATTTTTACCCTTGATTGGTCCAGACTCTCATCGCTAAGTATTTAGCACCTTGCAGCCATGTCACTGTTTGCTTTTTGCTTAATTCCTCCAAATCCGCGAAGGCGGGCGGCGGCAGGCAGGCCGGGGCACCTTCCGCGTCGTGCTATTAGCTGGCTTCCTTTTGTAGCTGCACAATAACTAGCGTTTCTAATATTTATTGGTACTGTTCCGTCTGTGCACCCTGTCCTCTGTTGTGCAAAAGGAAGACGTGTAACCGCCGGGGATGCGGTCAAGCCGCCGTCCGGACGCTTCACGGCGGTGGGGCTGTCAGTCCCGGCCTGCGAGGGCTCCGCGGCGCCCCGTCCTTCACAACACTAGTGCCATACGTACTCGAGACCGCCAGGTTTCCTGTGTTTTTATACCCGCGCGAGCAGCGCGCCCCTGTGTGGGGCCGGCGCCCGCGGGTCCTGGAGGAGGCGGCGCGGCGGGGGATGGGCCGGCGGCTTCGTCCCAGGCCCGTTGTTTTCCGTTGTCGCGGTCGCGGCCCCCGTCCTCGAGTCTCGCCTTTGGATGTGGCGGCGGCGCTGCTCGCTGGCCCCGGCAGGCCCGCGGGGAGGCGGCGTGCGGCAGCCGGCGCGTTGTCCTGCACGGGTGAGCCCGGCAGCGCCCGGCAGCCCAGCCCGGGCGCGTCTGTGCTGTCCTGTCCCCCCGTCGCGGCGGGGCTGTCGCTCGAGTGTGCACCCCCAGACCGGAGCTGCGTTTCAGAACCCGAGAATCACAGTTTTAAGTCACGGAGCAACACATCCGTGGAAAAGGACCTTTTTAACCTTAGAACTCACACTGGCTCCCCGGCCAGCGCCCTGCGGCGGCCGTGCCGCGGCCCGCGAATGGGTTGAGCGGCACAGTAGAAGCGCCAGGGCCCCCCCCCGCCCCCGCCCCGTGATCATGATGGGCGAGATGAAGACAGCGTGACGAGGAGCTGCGCCCGGCCCCCTGCGCGCCGCCCCTCGCCTGGGGCCCGGGCACGCCGGGTGCCGGCAGGACTTCCCGAAAGTGTTCTCATGCCAAATTGCAGTCCTCTCGCGTTCAGGGCGAAGGGTAGAGCGATTCTCTCTCAGTTCAATAATTAAAAAAAAAAACCAGTCCTAAAGTTAGAAGCTGCTTTTAACTAGATCGAGATAAAAGCGAGTCGAGGGACTTCCAACAGCAGGGTGGGCTCTGAAGTGGATCCCGGCCCTGGGCGTGGGGACGGTCCGGGCGCTCGGGGGCGGGAGCCCAGCGCCGTCGTGCGGAGGTCAGGCTTCGTGCCCGAGTCCATCCCGCTCCGGGGTCCATAAAACAGCGTTAAACATTGTATCAGAGTATTTGGAAAATTAGAAGCTTATTTTTAACATGTGTTGACATGACCTGAATTATTATTTTCTAAAATGAAGAGGCCTGTGCCTATCTGAAGCCTTCCACGTAATGCCATTTACGCCTTTGTGTTGTTATTGATTTAAGGTTTTGTTACTAGTTTCTCTTCTAAGAATGCCTTCACTGTGCATGCTTTTATGTTTTTCGGAAAGGGGTGTGTTTGGATGAAAGTAAAAGAAAAAATAAAACCATTCAATCTGGACTGTCTGTTCTTTGATGTCCCCCCGCCCCGAGCTCCCTGTGTCCCGTGACTCCACGCGGCCTCGGGGCCCGCCCTGCGCTCCGGACCCACAAAGCCGTGACGGCGCCCTTGGTAGGAGCAGCCTAGAAGGGAGACATTGACATATTCGGGCGTGCGACGCCGTGTCAGCGTGTAGCTGGAGTCTGGCTGGCGGAGAGGCCGGCCTGGGCGGGCAGGCGGTCTCTTGTGACGCGCCAGAGGGTGGTGGTAGGTTCCTGTCCCCGAGAGTTCTAGAAAGCTCCAGGCCCTCCCTCCAAACGCCCCTTGAAAGCTTGCCCGGTGTGGGGTGCTGGGCACCTTGGCCGCAGCTTCCTACCTGGTGCGGAAGGGAGCCCGTGGAGAAACGGCCACGTGAGAGAAAGACTCGGCCACTGCCTGTAGGACCGGCCACCCGTGCCCTCCCACACAAGCACCACATCCACACTCACCACACACACACTCGCACACTCATCGCACATTTACCACATACACTCACCGCACATGCTCACACGTGGGCCCCTGCAGCCCGGAGCTATCCCGTAGCCATGGTGGCCTTGCTCTCCAGGTGGTCTGACCACTCTGTCCACCACAGTCTCCAGCCCAGCGGTGCGGTGAGTGCTCAGGCGGTGGCTGCCAGCTTCTTGAGCCTTCTGCTGTCAGTGTCTCCTGTCCGTACAGGGGCCTGGGGCAAGAGTGGTGGCTGGGGTTCCAGAGCCGGCCCCTGTCCCACCTGCCCAGCCGAGGACCAGGCCAAGGCCGCACCACTTAATCCTAAACACTCAGCAACGGTGCCTGCTGGGGTGTGAGGATGACACGGAGAACCTCGCAAAGACTGGGTCAGGGTCCTCCTTTGAACCCGCCCTGGCAGCGCCCGGTGGTGGGCCCAGGATGCTGCTGGGCCGCTGGCCGTGTGGGAGGCTGCCCGGCGTCCCTGGACACCACCTCCAGTGCGTCAACCCCGAGTCCACCAGGGGCTCCTGCGCTGGCCCTCGGGCCTCTAGGCCGTGTGTGGGGTCTCTGGAGCATGAACAGGGAGGTATGAATTGCAGGGAGGGTCAGTGGAACACTGCCCGGCACTGAGCCCTCGCTCCTCATCCCCGTGTCCCCCGCACTCCATGTCTGGGGGGATAGTGGAGCAGGAACACCCCAAAGCCACACGCGCCTGGGCACCATTGTCTGGGCCCTGCCATGGGCACCCAGTGGCACCCTTCGCTCCTCTGCTGTGACCCCGTGAGCACTGGCCTGAGCTCTGATCTGACCCAGGACTGGCCAGGGACTAGACCTGGCCTTGGCCTCCCACCTGGCAGTGGCAGAAATACCAGTCTGGCGTCAGGAGGCCTGGCTGAGAGCAACAGGGGTCCCCCCTTCCAAATCCTTGGCGGAGGATTCATCTCCCTCTGGCGCGGGCACCCGCCCCGCTTCCCCAGCCCGCTGCCTCCCTGCACCGCTCCCACATCCTGGCTCCACCGGCCTCCTCGGCCCACCCCCATGGCCCTGCCCGAGCAGGGCCAGCCCCGTCCACACCTGACCGTGGCCCAGCCATGGGGCTGTGCTGTGTCACCTGCCTTCCGGGGCTTTCAAATTAGTGCAGATGACGTGAAGGAGCTCACTCACCCTTCCGCGGCTTAGACACGGCCAGGAGCTCTGGGATTCCCCGCGCGCGGGAACACCAGAGACGGCGTCCATGCTGACCAGGCACGGCCGCCGGGAGGGGGGCTGTGGTGGTGTCCGCCGCCGCACGCAGGCGGCCTGGTCTCCGCTGGACCCCAGCTGCCCGTCGCCCTGCACGTCCACGTGCGGCCGGAGCAGCCTTCGGTCCACACGTGGCCACCATCCTAGGTGAGGTGACACGCGGGTGGGAGGACAGCAGCCCCGCCAGCTCCAGGATCAGCCCCACGGAGAGGGGCCGGGAGCTGGCGCCCGTGCTCCCCAGGGCCTCGCCGGGAGGGCCCCACCCGCAGCGAAGGCACGATAAACCTCATCGTCCAAAAGTGAGAGGGGGAGGCCTGGGCTCTGACGCCAGCGGGGCCAGGACCTCCCGATGGGGTGGGGCTCTCACCACTGGTCCCAGGGACCAAAGTCAGGGCCCCGGAAACGAGGCTGTGCGTGGCTCCCGACTCGTGAGCCTGTCTCCGCGCTTGCAGATGGGGGCCCAGCTTCACCGACAGTGCGGGGTCAAGTCAAACCTGCCAGGCAGGTGCAGGTCCCAACGAGTGGGCGGGGGTGGCAGGGGTCTGCCCAGGTGTGAAGGGTGAAGTTACAGGTGCGCATGCGCGTGGCCAGCACACAGTAGGTGCACAGCAGCACTCTCCCTTCGGGGTGCAAACCTCAGGGTCTCTCCGGGGCCCGTGACAGAGGAAATGTCTGGACAGAGGAAATGATGGTTCTGGTTTTGCAAGGGAGGCAACGACTCACGTGGGAGCTGGGGGGGCAGCCTCGGGGGCCGGGGTCGTCCACGGGGTGCAGTGAGCTGAGAGCTCTGGCCTCGCAGGGGTTTCTGTTCCGTGACTCCTGTGCTGGAGCCCTCACCGTGACTGCACGGAGCTGGGGTACTCCCCAGGGGTGACCAGGTGGAGCGGGGTCTGCAGGGTGGATCTTAATCCCATGGCGCTGGGATTAAGTCAGAGGCAGAGGCACCAGGGTTCCAGAGGGGAGGCCAGTGAGGGTGTGGGGGACAGCGGGCTGGCCCCTAGCCATGGGAGCGACCCCAGGAGAAACCCACCCATCGACCCCTTGATCTTGGACCCCACCCAGACTAGAGAGGGACAAATGTCTGCTGTGTGTGACGCCCACCTGGCCTGGCTGAGACAGAACAGGGACTCGCTGCTGGGCTCAGGGACCCCCCTGCGGGCCTCCCCCATTCCGGGCTGAGTGCCCCAGCCCCCAGGCAGCCCCCCACCCACCCCCCGTCAGCAGCGGGCTCTCTGCTGCCCCCAGGTGTCCCTCCTTGCCTGGCGACATCACCTGCTCTGACGTGGCCTTTGCTCACACCAAGCCCATCTGCCTCGAGGCTTTTAACTGTCCTGCTGTCCTGCAGTTGGCCCGGATGGAGAAGCAGCCGGAGCTCCCTGCCGCCCGCCCGCGTGTCTGGAAACCAGGCTTGGGCACAGCAGGAGGCTGCTCCAGGCCTCTGCGAGGTCGGTGCTTGGCGCTCAGTCGGCTTGGGGGCGGCTGGCCGGGGAGGGAGGCGTCGCCGTCACAGGTTAAGCGCCTCTGGCAGGGGCGAAGGCGGGCTGGGGTAACCGTTCTGCTCTGTGAACGATCAGGAAAGGAAGGCGCTGCCGGGCTCAGGGGGCTCCTTTCCCCGGCAGCCGGGCGCCTCGCCCTCGTCAGCGCCTGCGCATCTCTCAGGACCCCACGCAACGTAGCGGGTTGTCCTCACCAAGCTGAGCCGCCAGCCCGGCTTCAGACTCGCTCCTCTGGGTTACACCCAGGACCGGCCTGCTCTGCGCTGAAGGTCTGTGTCCCCCGGCGCGCAGGGGCTGCACCTGCCGGCCGGCCTTTCCGAGCTGAGCGGGCAGAGGAGGGGGCGATGCCCCGAGGCGGGGCTGGGGCCCAGGAGAGGAGGCGGTGGGGGCAACTCCCCTGCGCTCCGCCAGCAAGGACACGGCAGGGCGCGTCCTCGCCAGACACCAGCCACGCCGCCTGCGTCCTGGACGCGCGGCCCGCGGCCCTCCCCTCGGCCGTCTGCCTGGCTTTGCCCCCGCAGTCCAAGCGCCCCGGGCCTGGCCCGGCCCCATCTGCTGGGGCTCAGGCTGCACCCATGGGACCCTGAGCTGCCGGGGAATCTGTTATAGGACAGGGAGCGGGGTAGCCCAAGCCCCGCAAACCTGCCTATTCTAAATGGGTTCTGCCATCCGCCGCATCAACAC